TCGAACTCCTGAGCTCAAACAATCCACCTGCCTCGGCCTCCCAGAGAGCTGGATTACCATCATTTTTGAAAGATATTTTCACTACGTCAAGATTTCTATGTTCTTGATCTTTTTTATTTTTTTGAGTACTGTAAAGATGTTGTTCCACTGTCTTGTGGCTTGCATTGTCTCTAAAAGAAGTTATAGTTTTTGTTATTAATATGTATATTAAGTACACTGGCTGCTTTTAAGATTTTTCTCATCATCACTGCTCTGCTTAATTATATAATCAGTGTCATTTCTGGGTATGTTTTTATTAATTGACTTTTCTCAGTTAATAATATGGGTTATTATTTTCCTGCTCCTTTGCATGCCCGATAGTTTTTTGTTGGATGCTAGATATTTAAATTTTTACCTCGTTGGGTTCTGGCTATTTTTCTATTCTTACAAATATTCTTAAGCTTTGTTCTGGGAGGCAGTTAAGTTACTTGGAAACAGTTTGATGCTTTAAAAGAGGCTTGCTTTTAAATTGTGTTGATCTGAGCAGCCTTTAAGTCTATGGCAAATTTTGCTGAGGCCATCCTCTTCTGAGTACTTCAATCAATGCCAGGTGAAGGGTTTCTCCTGGTGGGCACACTAACTGTTCTCAGTACTGTGTGAGTGCCAGGGTTTGTTCCTCCTGCTCATTTAGGATGATTCTTTCCACTTTGCTTTACTCCCGTGCACTGATCAGTACTCAGCTGGAGACTCAAGGCGGGCTCTGATGTCTGGTGTCTTGTCTCTGCGTATGTCTCTTCTCTCTATGCCTTATGCTGTCTAGCTACCTTGGCCTCCCTGCACTCCCAGCTTCATCCCTTCCATCCAGGGAGACTTCTGGGTTCTGAATGAGTTCCTCCTTCTGTGCTGCAGTGCGGAAGCTCTCTTCCGACAGTAAGCTGGGACAATCTGAGGGCTCACATTGTTTGTTTTCACTATCCCAGAGATAACTGTCCAGTGCTACTTGATATCCAATGTCTGAAAACCATCATTTCATATACTTTGTCCAGATTTTCAGTTATTTTGAGCTGGAAAGTAAATTCAGTTCCTATTACTCCATCTTGTCGAGAAGCAGAAGTCCTGATTCAACTTTTTTTTTTAAATAGGGCCTCATGAAATAATTTCTCAACATTATTATTATTGGAATTTGGACAATGCTTGAAAGCATATTTACTTATTCTCTGGCTCGTTTCTCCTCAGGGAGTAATGTGGTCATTGCATCCCGTAAGTTTGATAGGTTGAAATCTGCTGCAAGAGAACTGCAGGACAACCTACCTCCCAACAGCCAGGCTCGAGTCACTCCCATACAATGCAACATCCGGAATGAAAAGGAGGTAATGCAAATAGATCTGTATAATTTATTCCTGTATTTTAATTCACAATAGTGATTCCTAAACCTAGCTGTGCTTCAGATTCTCCTATGGTAGCTGTCTTAGGTGAGGTTCACTAGAAGCAGAGCTTGTGAAGGAGATTCTTTTGTTAATGCTTTACTGAGCCAGAGAGTGAGGGAAGCAAGAAGTGGTCTCAGCTAGAGACTATCTATTTTGTCCTTTGAGTCATTTCTTTTTTTTTGGTCACTGGCTTATGCTTTGACCTTTAAGTCATTTCTTTTTTTTTTTTTTTTTTGA